TGAACAATATATTGTATATTTATTTAAAAAAGAGTTAGAAGAGAAGATTTGAAATGTTCGCAACAGAAAGAAATGATAGATGCTCGAGGTGATGGATGTTGTACATACCCTGACTTGTTCATTACACACTCTATGCATGTATCAAAATACCACATGTACCCCATACATATGTACAGATATTATATATCAATAAAATATGTTAATATTTATAAAGCATTTAATATTGTGAGACACTATTGTAAGCACTTTAAATGTATTAACTAGCTTTAGTCTGTACAAGAATTCTGTGAAATAGATATACTATCATTCTCATGTTTCAGATAGGAAAACTGAGCATAGGCAGATTAAGTAAATTGCCTTAGTTACAAATCTAGCAAAAGGCAGAGCTAGAATTTAAACCCAGGCAATCTAACTCAAGAACCCATGCTCTTAACCACCCAGCTATATAAATACATGTTCACAAACCATTTCACTTATAATTGCATAGGACTCATACAGCCTTTGAAGCTTATCTAGGTCCGTAGGGACACTGGGCTACTTCTCCTATTTCCAAGATGACTTGAAGCAGTGGTTTGGGTTTTATCAGAGGTTTTACAAGTTAACTGAGACATGATTATTGCTAAATGAAAGGGCTGTTATAAGTATTTTATGTTTTTCTTATAACTAAAAAGAGAAATACATAGATCTTACTATAAAAAGTAAGGAGCTTGGGAGATGGAGGTGTGCTATTTTATTCAAAGTGGTTAGGAAAAGTACTAACCAATGAAACAGCCAGTTCCCCATCCCCAAAATCCATTCTCTCCTTGTTCCTTGTACTAACAGAGCACTCAACTATTCAGATTTGAGACTGCAATCCTCAGACTCCCATTCATCCCCTAGGATAACTACAAGACTAGAATTTGGCCAATTGAATGTGGGCAGAAATGATGTGTGCAAATTCCAGGTTATACACTTGAAGGGATGGGGGACCTGTGCTTTTTCCCACACTTTCCATCTCTACCCCCTTACTTCATTCCTCCTTTGTCTGAAATGTGATGGCAAGCCAACTAAGACCATGTAAACAAGAGCAACAGAGGGTGGAACAGCACAATAGAAGAATCCTGGGTTTCTGAAAGACTTTTTGGTTCAGCGTCTACACCAGCTCTAATTGTCTACCTCTGGATTGAAACAGAAATATCCCTCTGTCTTGTTTAAGTCACTGTTAGTTTGGTTCTGAATCTATATTGCATCTAAATCTTTCATCTTAATGCTTCCTAACCTTTTTATAGCTCGGCACTCTTGGAATATGCCAAAATTTGTACATCGCGGTGGAATAAACAGATGATGACGACTGTGGTCAGAGGCAAAACCCAGGGATGAAGGAAACAGCATATCAGGAACACCCATAAAGTATCCACAGCACAGTAGTTAAATAGTTCTGCCCTAATTAATATATAAGTCTTTCCTGAGGATGTGATATTTGAGCAGAGATGTAAATCAAGTGAGAAACCTATGAGAGTATTAGGGAAAGATTTAATAAAATAAAAATTAAAAAACCCTGAGCTTTCAACAGACATAGTTATACCTAAGCCCATAATAAAGAATATCTTACCATTTAAAATGATAATTGACTAGAAATTTTCCAGCCTCTTCTAATATCCCAACCAAACACCTAAAAATAAACAAACAGTTGTAACACTGGAAAAGAGATAAAAATCAACTTACTGCCAAACATGAAAAGAATCCCACTTCAAAAAAAAAAAAAAAAAAACCAAAATACAATGGATTTGTAAAGAAAGTTATAATTAGTGGACCATATTACTGCTCTGCAATTTACCTTAGACTTCCAGGAAAAAAATGCCATGTGTATTTTCTTGAAAATGGATAGAAAGGTCCTCTCCCATTGATAATCTAAAGAAAATTTGTACTAGAAAAAAATTCTACCTAACATTAGAGGTAAAGGGGTATAGTATTTTTGAAAAATGCATTACATTGGAAGGGGTATATTATTAGAAAAACACCCTAATCTAAGAAACCCATAGCTAAGTTACTCCCAAATTCTTGACCTACAGAAGCTATGATAGATAATAATTATTGTGGCTGTAAGCAGTTAAGTTTTGGGGTGATTTCTTATATAGGATTAGATAACAAATACAGTCTAGACGTAGCAATGAGAAGTAAGCAGGCCAATTATCCCATAAAAGGGATGTGAGAAAGAAAAATCCATTGCTTAGGTGTATGAGGAGTGTGGTTCTTTAGTAAAGAGCTAGATTTTGATCAGGCAAGAAGATAAAGAAACTTTCAGAGAAAGGCAATGGATGTAGGCAATTTTGGCAATTATTGACTGTGAATTCCACAGGATGTAGAAGGATTTTGGAACTGGGGAGAAGTGGAAGACTTAGTCAAAACAAAGGGCATATGGAGATACATTAGATTAGGGTCCTGAAAATAAGGGATGATTGTGAGACCTGGCTCTGGTGGCTGACACGAATAGGTATACAAGGCATGATGGGATTAGTCCTAAGAGACCCACAGAGACAGTGGGGAAGCTGTGAGTATTGTTATAGGGGGAAGACAGGGTGGGAATTTTTCAAGGGGAAAAGAGAATTCTAGGCTTCCCAACTGACTTCTCTCATTCAACAGGTTGTCTCTTCACTCTGTTTCCAAAGTTCTTTAGTTTAACATAGTCCCATTTGTCTATTTTGGTTTTAGTTGTCTGTGCTTTTGAGGTCTTAGCCATTAAATCTTTGCCCAGACTGATGTCTTAAAGTGTGTTTCCCTATGTTTTCTTTTAGGAGTTTTATAGTGTTAGGTCTTATGTTTAAGTCTTTAATCCACCTTAGGTTGACTTTAGTAGATGGTGAGAGACAGGAGTCTAGTTTCATTCTTTTGCACATGGATATCCAATTTTCTCTTCTACTGCTTTTTAAAGCACAAGG